CTAAGACTAATCTTCTGATATACATCTCATTCTGAACGGCCACGGCCACTAAGTATCCTTCCCTTGTCAGCTATACCGCTTAACCTTGCGATTGAAGAAAGTTGCGTTGAGAGATGCTTATCTCGAGCACAAAGGTGTTACGCTTGGTTACGGCGCACTTGGAGCATGCATAACTTCTTCAGCTAATTCTCTTTTCTTTTTTCGTTGGTGGAGGATTAACGTGGAATTTGCGCTCTTTTTCGCGGTTTTGAGCTATTCTTGTCAAAGTTTTATTGTTATTAGATCGCTTTTAGCTACAACCACCGTACATCTCGAAACACCTAAGGAAACTGGCCTTGCCATGAAAATAAATCTGACAAAAACCTTCGCTTTGATATTCTATAATAGATCAGTAAACATGATTGGAACAAGTGGGCTTGAGACAAAACATCTGTTCTTAATAGGGAGCATTAAATCAGCTGCAGTAAATCAAATTGTTTAAGAGAAAAATCAAAATTACGAGCAGCAGCTTAGGAAACGTTGCAACTAAATCTTTATAGTCAATTAGTAGTTGACAAGTACGATAGGATTGTTTCTTCACAAGTGAAATTTTCAAAACCACAACGATCGCATCATTTGAAAGATAATTTTTTCTTTCATTCCATAGTGTTATCTAGTAGTATAGAATATCGCTGATATAATTATTAGGTGGTCAGTCTATAGAGCTTTTAAGAGTGTCTACCGCAGCTACCTTCAATTTCATCGATTGTCTTCAAAATACGGCAGTCATGCATTCTCATTTTGGATGATAAATGAGAGAGGGGTTGGCAAAAGTATCCAACTTTTGCTCGCGTAATGGAAGTAGAAAATGTTTGTGAGAGCAGGAAGGAAAATAGCCTATATAGATTTGAATTGACCCAATACATCTCCCAATTCTGTTCCTTTTACCTAGTTGCTTGTAAAGGTACCTGTGGCATGAAAGGCTGGAAAGGATTGAAGAAGGGACTGGACTGAGGTGATTGTGACGGGAACAGGGGCCTTCCAAATATGTCAGTCATCCCAGACTGTTGGACACTGTTGGCGGCACCTGGGAAGAGCTGTTGCTGTTGTTGAGGTGCTAGTTGTAATTGCGTTGTTTGCGGTTGATTGTATGGAAGAGCGCCTTGCTGATACTCTGGAAGTGGTTGAGCCAAATCTGCTGGTTGTTGGGCGAGATTTCTATTGATATCGGTGGGCCGTGGTGGAGGAATCAGAGGTGCAAGAGTGGAGATACCGGTTGGAGCAGGGTACTGTATCGGTGCTACTTGAGTCTGTGGTGCAGCCAGTTGCAGAGGTCGGGGCGCTTGGGTAAGAGCTGTGTTGTACGTGAGAACCTGAAGGTTATACTTAGTAATAATTTTAAATCAGAGTGAAATTTTAGTGGACCCACCGGTTGTTGCAGTTGTGTCGATACACCCGCTTGCCTGACTACGTTTTTGTGCAGGTTTTGCTGGTTTGCAACATAGGTAATCGTAGTGGGCAATGGCGATCTGCTCTGTTCACTGTACAATTTCACCCTGTTACTCTGAATTTCACTATGTTACAAACACAGATTGAAATTTGTGCAGTTTGTGCAGTTTTTACTCACAGAGCGCGGGCAAGTTGAGCATGTTTTTTCACACATCCTTGCAATAAACTCGACATTACAATGATCGCAACGTGCCCGTTCGCATGACGGTAAATCAGAAATTGAAACCGCCACAAGAGCGACTAATAGCAAAACTATCCTCATGACCTGAAATTCACGCTAATTAAGGGAAATACTCTTTATCTGCATAATCATCGGAAAAATTACGAATTTGTAGTTACTTATAAAATTGAGAATTCAAAATTGGAAACTCCGATTGTAGCTTCCATACCAACTTAACTAACTCTGAACATTTTGAGCGCAATATTGTGCCTTTTTATGAAAGACAATATTTTAATGAGTGATGCTTTTTTGCTTCACTTGCTATCACATGTTTCAGTGTAGGCCTAGAAGGATTTTGGGCGGACTCAAAACTTTTCAAAGGCGTTCACATGCGGCGCATACGTAATTTAAGATCTGTTTTTCATATGTGTCAAGCGTTTCTATTGAAGAAAGTTGAAAGTTTTCCTCGTCAAAATGTTGCTTACTCAGCCTGGAAACAGTTACTCTGAAGCATCGTAATTGCAAGCAGAAGATAATATTCACTTTTTGCAGCTTTGGACCAAAATCTAATTTTTGAACATCTCTACAAGGTTGTGTATGCTATCTTTGACTAAAAAACATAGCTTCTTCCGGAGAAAAACGGTTGGTGAGTACAGAAGACAGATTAAGAATCAGCGTTTTGTGCTACTGCAAGGTATAAATTGGTTTAGACTTGGTCAGTATACTATCGTTGTAAGTTGAATAGGATGTCCTGAATAACATTCTGTCTGTATCAAAAGTGATGATTAACTTACAAGGTGGATACCTATCAAGGTATGAACTTACGTTTACTTTTCTAGTCTTTAGCGGAATTATTAGTTTGGCTTACATGAATTAGGTAGCGAAAGTAAAATTTTTAATTTTTTGTTCATATGGTTAAAACTGTGTTCAGTCGGTTTCGTTTTTTCATAATTCAATTCTCTGATGAGATTTTTTTATACTATCGCTATTGACAAATGGTCTCCTTGTCGCCTCACTGCTATTCATCGCAAGCTGACGCGAT